ATTTCAGATCATTTGTTTATAGTACTAGAATAGTTCATTACCACCCGAGACAGGTTTTTCCAAACGCGACATCTTTTTCGCATGACTGTATATTTATTATAATTGGCTTAGTAAATATATAGTTTATAAGTCAATTATTGTTCAGTTATCTCACATGATATACAGTTAACTAATCATAATATATAATGGTTACTTCTCAAATATTTTTACAAATAATAGACCGTGAAAAATTTCCCTTATTAGTGTTATTTTGTTGATAGTTATGTAAATTGTTTAAATTTAGATATGTTGCAAATCAAACTCTATGTTTCACTTATAAATATTTTACAATTATTATAATCCAATTTTACAGTTTTTAAAAATAAAAAATATAACGTTTATATTTAATGGCATTTTTTATGGTCAAACAAAAAAAATTCATGGTGTCTGTCAGCGATGTCAATTTTTTAAAATTTTTGAGACTAGGGGTTCTTTAAAACAAAGTTAAAAAGACAAGGGTTGATTTTTATTGAATAATGGTTTCAGAAAATTTAAAATAAACTTTTTGATGGCAATTCTAATTTAATGTTTGAATAAAACATACAGTCAAGATAAAAAGGGGGATGCTGAGAAAAAGGGGGATGCTAATCTAAATATAAATTTATTTTGGTGTTTTTCATTTTATTAATTATTTAAATGATCATTTATATTAAAATTTATAGTAATTATATAAATAGTAATATAAGTGGGATGCGGGTCTTAAATTGAAACTAAATACAAACTATATTTTATTTAAAAAAATAAACAAACTAATAAATGAAATTTAATCTCAGAACTATTATTATTTAAATGGAACAACAATATCACCTGTTTGTACTTTTAAAGAGATTATTCAAGTGTTGGGTCTATTTTATTGATAAAATATATATTCAATTATACACCCACATCAACTAACACATAGAACAGAGAAAGTGGAGGAAAATGATAGTATTTAATGAGAACGATGGAAATTAGCAAATTCAATAAACACTTCTACAAACCGATAAAATATTATTTATTTGTTTGGAAGAGGAAATATGGTTTTATAATTCAAGGTGATGTCCAAGCTTACTTCTCCAAATCATTCCAAAATATAAATTCACACCGTTTCCATTGTGGAATGGTGTTGTGTGTTGACTACAGACTAAATGATTTTTTTTAAACTTGTTTTATTTTAACTACTTTTTATTTAGCATTACAACGTATAGTTTTTTATGTCTGCTTATCTAAATGCACGTAATTATTTATTCATTGTGTTATATGGTTATGATAGTATTGAAAATAAACATTAAACATATAACTTATAACGTCTTGGGAGAGTTGTCATTCGTCAAGTCAACATCAATATACATTTAAAAATTAATAAATAAGAATTTATCAAAAATGAAAGATATGAACAGTCGATTGTTCAACAAAAAAATGTTGTGGTTTAATTTTTTTGTTATAATAATAAAAATACTATAAATCAATCAAACTTTTAGAAGTATTAAGAATATTCATTTTTTGTACATATTATTTTTTGTTTGAAAAAATAACCGATGGTTGCTAGCATCCGACTTTTTCTTGCATCCCCTTATTTCCCCCTACTGTAGAAAAATATAACGTTTATATTTAATGGCATTTTTTATGATCAAACAAAAAAAAATTCATGGTGTCTGTCAGCGATGTCAATTTTTTAAAATTTTTGAGACCGAAAAAAATTACAAATAATATATTCCTTTTTTTGTGAATAAACCTTTCTTCATGCTTTAAATGTTGATATTTTGCATACCAATCTCTGTGTTTTATTGTTGAATAGTTTTCATTTTTTATAAATTTAAAAACTGGTTTTACAATTTTTAAATTTAGATTAACATAAGGTTTGTTTTAGATGAAGTTTTTTTAAATAGTGTTTTTTGTTGTGGTTAGACAATAGACTACATACCCAATTTACCATGTTTTATATTTCATTATTTTGTGTATGTTTTTTGTTAATTATTTATTATAAATTAGGATTTTTAATTAAAGATGTAGAAAACTATTTATAATCAATAGTTTTTTTCTTTTTTTTTAAATGATTATTTTTTTGTTTTCTTTTTCGAATTTTTTCTTTTTAACCATATTATACATCCAAAAAAGAAATACAAAAAATGTGGAGTTTGTAATTCCTCCTCTGGAGAATCCTCGATTAATGAAAAAATATACAGTTGTTATTGCAAACAGTACCATTTCGAATATATATCGATATTAATCTTTTATTATTAAACAATAAAGCTGTTTTAATCAATAATATGAGTTCGTTTTTTTATATTGAATGTACATAGCTGAGTTTATAAATCTTTTTATTTAATTGATACATCTAATATAATACAACAATTGACAGAAAAATAATCGTACAGTCGAAACAGTGTATAAAAGATAAGATGGTACATCTTCTGCTTTATTTTTATGAATATCAAATTAAAAAACCAAGTTCAAAAATTATCAATTGTCAGTGAAACTATAAAAACTATACTTTTCTATTTATGACAAAATAAAGTTAAATAACAAAAATCAATTTCGAAATAACGATTCAAGTTTGATCAAAAAAATAGTAATTATGTAAATATCTTCGTAAAAAAAAGTCAAAAAAAAACAAAACAGAACAAAAAGTCCTTCGTATTGAATTTTCCAAAGAAATTATTTTGAAAAGTGAACCTTTTGTGTAAATAATTTGTTTTAAAAGCTGTACAAACATTTTATGGTGGTCTACCATTTTGTGATGCACTTTACAATGATTTTAATTTCAACCAAAGTTATAAAAGTAAATTAAAATGATTACAGCGATTTTTAAATTGAAATGAATGATTATTTAAGTTTTTTTTAGTGGTTAATATTTGAATTGAAATATTATTTAAATATTTTATATTTATAGTTTGATATTGATAAATAATTAAACAAAGTCGAGAATTAATAATAATTAAATGTTGCATCAACACCACACAAACTTGATGCTGAAAAATGAAGCGACTGTAAACACCTAATTTTATGTAAAGAAACACACCCCTTGAAACTCGAGAGTCCTACTTTTGTGACACTTTTTGGAATATCAATTATCTTCAATGTTGCACAATTTTGAAACGCCGAATCACAGATTTTGTGTATTCCTTCTTTCATAACAACATCTTCAAGTTTTCGACAATTTTTGAACATAAATTTTCTGATTTTAGTTAGTGTTGTTGGAAGATGTAAAGAAGTGAGTGATGATAAATTTGCAAAGACGAGGTGTTTGTCGAACAACACACTTTCTTCAATTTGAATACTTCGGATGTTACTGCATCCCATGAAACACTGTTTTCCAATCAAACAACTTTCGTTGATGATTTTAACAGACTCCAGCATTGTATAATTTTTATAACACCAATTTTTGATTTCATCGACACTTTCAGGCAATTCAAGATGTTTTAAATTGCACGATTTAACAATGAAATTGTCCAACAATTTGGCGCCTTTAGCCGGAACAAACTTGGGGTGTCTTACAAGACTACAGCACTTCCAAAGAGCGTAGTCTTCGACTTCAACAGACTCAAGTGGCGATGTGATTTCAATTAAATTGATATCTCCTGCAAAACACTTATATGGAAGTTTTGTGATATCATTGAGATGTACAGAAGTGAGTGTTGTGATATTTTCAAAAGCGCCGTAGCCGATTTTAGTCAGGCCATAAGGCAGATTCAACGTAGTCAAATATTGATCGCTGTGATTCTTAAAGCAAAAATTGCCTATTTCCTTAATGCCACCCATTGCTCCTAAATGAAAACTAATATTTCCTTGAAAAGCTCTGTCTTCAAGTACACAAATAGTTTCTTTCATCATTTTCTTTAATTGTTCCTTTTTTGTATTGTCATCAGCACTCATACAGTCTTTCCACTGTTTGTTCCAAGTCTTTGTCTCTTTGAATGTGTACCATCCCATTGGTGTTGATGCAACACGAATTTCTTTGTAAACAAAATAATTGTTAGTTGTATTGTTGTAAATATTTTCGTCAGGGTATGCCTCACATTCGTCTAATTGAATTGGGTAGTCAATCACTATGTTCTGATTGTTATAAAGGTATTTTGAGTCTAAATGATAATCCTCCACAAAATTCATTGAAAACGACTTGAGGTAGATAGTCTCCTTACTACTGTAACACGAATTACACACATCATATAATGAAAGTTTTGTCAATGTACTTGGTAGATGAAATATGCACTTTCTGCATCTTGTCAAATGAAGTTCTTGTAATTGAAATTTGCTTAAATCGACATTTTGTTTGGTAGTGACACTATCGCCATAAATATTTTCCAGTTCCAGCGAAATCAAATTAATTGAGCAATTAACCAATAGCTGCAAATTTCTACTTGGGATGTATTGGTTATCCTTTTGTCTGCTATATTTTAACATCGAGAAATTTTGATAGTCAATTGTTTGTGGTACATTTGAAGGTCTTTGAGTAACTTTAAAACAACGTGAAGCGTCAATGGGACTCTCTATGAATTCCAAGACTTCCATTTGAATAAACACATTCTTTACAAACTGTAAATGTTCAAGTACTTTGTGGTCCGCATATTCCATATTACCATTTTCAGAGTCTTCAGAGTCGTCATCTTGGCTATCTGAATATGCAAAAAAATCCGGATCGGTCACTTTATCCAGAAATTGTGGCTCAAAGTGTTGTTGAAGAGTAATTGTGACATCTTTTGAGCAACAAAGCGCGTATTGGTCATTTTCATCACATACAACAACACATGTTTTTGGTGATATTTTCAGTGTTACTCTCCCTTTTGTATCATTGACTAAAACAAGCTTTTTGCAGTCAATTTGTGACATATCGACTTCTTCATGCTCTTTTATACTCAGACGAACTTCATCGAACTCAAACGCATACATTTGAATGAACACAATAAGATTGGAGATCAAATTCTCAGATATTTCAATTGTTTTTGATATGTTCACAAATGTGACAGGCAGTTGTAACATATTATTTGATTCAATGTACTCTTGAAAAACATCTATTGTTCGAAATATGACATTTCCACACTTTTTAAGTTGTTTAACAACGTCTTCTGTTACTTTGTTAGTTATTGAACTTATGTGTTTAATATAAAAACAAAAATTAAGATTTGGAGCTCCCTTTGTAAATTCGCTTATTTTCTGAATGTGAGTTTCATCTCTTAAAATAATTCGGACTTTTCGTAAAATACGAAAACTCCACAACACACTCCGATTGTTCACCAAAACGTCCCACATTTGTTTAATATTTGTTTGTGTTTCCTTTGTTATTTCTTTTTTGATTTTGTTGCCATATACGTCTCTAGTTAATGACACATCGTCTGTTATTGTTATCTCAGTACAAGACGTGAAATATTTTGCGTTTCTCAAAAAATCGTCTGCTGTTTCTTTTGAGTAAATAGTGAGTGTTTTCAGCTTGTTAAGTGTTTCCGATTGAATTCTTTGAAAATACGAAGTTGTTCCAAAATTCTCAAATGAAACAAAACACACGTGTCTTGTGATATAAGTCCCTTCATACCCTTCATTTGGTATTACATCTTTTTCATCATAAAACGACTTCACTTTGATGAAGGAAATGTTGAATTTGGAAAGCTGTGGAATTATACATTTATAAGATGGGAGATACAGTGTTTGAATATTTGGAAATAGTTTCATTATTCGTGATAAGTAGTCCATTATGTTACGTTGTGGACTTTTAATTGCGTCGTATGAAAATTTGTCGGAAAGTAACGGATTTGTTTGCATTCGATTAAGGACTGACTGACATTTGGTGTTTATACATGAAAAAGTTGAGAGTGAATTAAATGTGTTCATGTACAACACCACATTCATTAGATAGAATTCCTCAAGTTTTTTTGTCATGATCAGTGAATTAATTATTATATAAGTTTTTTTGTTTAAATTGTCGACTTTGAATTTTGACTTAATTTTTTAACATGAAAATAATCATTTTAAATTATTATTATAATTTTAATTTTTTCTAATAATCTAGTTAAAAATTAATAATTTTATTATTCAAAATAATAATAATTTATTGTTTTATTTATAATGTTTACTTTTAGGATTTAAATTTAAAGTCATACTTATGTGTGTTAAAACAATTTTTTTCTGGTATTGGAAGGGTTAAACATTGTATTACAATATTATCATTATTAAAACACAAAAAATATAAATTGTTGATTTTAATTTACACATAAAGTGATGCTCTTGTATTCAAATTGAACATTATTATTGGGATATTAAACCTTTTTTATATTTTTTTCATTTTTTGTTTGTGTTATGTTATATACGTAATAAACTCTTAAAACAGAAATTACATCCAATAAACTTGTAATTTACCGATTTTTAGATTTTTTGAATTTTGTTCAATGTTGTTTAAAATGTTAAAGTTATATTATATATTGTTTATATATTCGGTGTTATTATTATAAATTCGGTGTTTTTGATGAAATTATTAATATAAAACAATAAAAAAGGTTAGAAGTCCATAACACACGTGTTTTCTTATATATACAATCAATAAAAAACGATTATTTTCATTTTCAAAACAATGCCAAAAACGATAAAATTGGTCATTTTAGGCAGCGGTGCAGTTGGGAAGTCTGCGATTACAATTCAATTGGTCTCAGGTCAGTTCATAGAAATATATGATCCAACTATTGAGGATACGTATAAAGCATCAATACCGTTCAACGGTGAAATCATCCCATTGGATATTCTTGACACTGCAGGACAAGAGGAGTACTCTGCGTTACGAGACCGGTATATGAAATCGGGTGATGGATATGTCATAGTTTATTCTATAACATCAACATCATCATTTTTAGACGCCAAAATTATTCGAGAACAACTTATTCGAGTGTTAGACAATGATAATGCATCACATTTATCAATATTGTTGTGTGGTAATAAATGCGACTTGGAAAATGAAAGGCAAGTGTCTTTGAAACAGGGGAACGATTTGGCTCATGAATGGAAAGTACTTTTCTTTGAAACTTCAGCAAAAAACAAAATCAATATCATAGAGGCTTTCCAAGAACTAGTCAATGATGTCAAATTGCACAAATTGGATGATGAAGAAAACAACGACCGTGATGTTGAATTTAATAATGCAAACAAATCCGAACAATTTATTTTGTCAAAAAAATGCACAGTTTTGTAAACAAATGAATTGTTATTCATTTATATTATAGGCAAATATTATTACACAACTCATGATCACAATGGTAAGTAATATACATAAAAATTTAATAACCATTTAATATTATAATTTTTAAATAAAGTCATTTTTAAAACTTGGATTTGAAATTTGTTGAATTCAACACACAAGTTCAACAAAAGTTAAACAGAAATAGACAAAAGGTGAAATTTTGGTATGGTAATATTTATGTGTTTAACTATGGGTTTTACTAATATGGATAATTATGGACCTTTCCACGTTTTTATAAATTTAAACGTGTTTAAACAAACTTTTATTTCAAATTAAAACAAAAAATACCAAAAATAAAAATAAATGAAAGTATTATAATTAATTTGTCAAATATAAACAAATATGTAAGGATTACAGTAGGGGAAGTAAAAGGCTTGATGATACTGAAAGGCTTGACCTATACTTTTAATGGTTTATTTACTATATTTAAATAAAAACTATTTTAATATTTTATTTAAAACACAACCTTGACTTATTAGTTATAGTTTATAAACCATTAAAGTATTGGTTCATCCTAAGCATAAAATCAGAAATTGAAATTGTATTCGAATTGACTCGAGTGTTTATTATTTTTTTAAAATTAAGTCATCAGTGGGAGTTAGTCGTCTTGTTTGACATGGTTTTCGTTGTTGGTTCAGCTCTTGGATATTTTAAGGCAAATATTTTTCTTCGGTTTTGACCAAATAGGTTGGTTTTTGCGGAAGAACAGAACAATGCCAAATGTTTTATAGTATAAACATTGTTGGTTTCTTGGTACAACCTGGAAGCCTTTTTGATAAAATGAACACTGTTCTTAATAGTTCAAATATTGACTTTAACAACACCAGAACGCTTAAATGACGCAACAATGATGTTTTTATTACTTTGGTTTCTAATGCTCCCAACACCTTTTTGGTATTACGAGCAATGGAAACACAAATATACTCTCTCGGCCTTCCTTGTCCTCTTAAAACTTGTCGTGATCTGCCATCACTATCACTATGTTCATTAATCCAAAAATCAATTCAATTTACACCTCGCCGTCTTCATTTAGTGGAAATTTGGCACATTTGATCTTCAATTGTCAGAGTATTATAATATTTTAAAAACAAAAAAAATATTCATAAAAACAATGGAAATTCATTGTTTTTATGAATATTTTTCAGAAAAAATACAGAACTTTTGTTTGAAAATTGTTATTATAATTAAATAAAAAATTCAATTTATGTCAATAAATTTATATTTCAAATACAAAAATAATTTTATAATAATATTTTAATTTACTTCTCAACAAACCTTGGTTTAGAACACAAACACATGTAATATCAAAAAGTTGATTTTATAAAAATAATTGGAAAAAATTATTTTTACGATATTGTTTACTGTTTTCAGAATCAACAACTCTTCCCACTCTTTAATTATAAGAAGTGGTAATTTGGCAGTTTCGTAGTTTCGTAATTATTGTTAAACTATAACATGGGTGTTGATATAAAATAATAATAATAATAATAGTATTAATAAAGTAGATTAAATAATATAAAATGGGAGTAGTCGACTGATATTCAATGATGATCATTGGAAAATACTTTGCAAGTGTCAAATATTTCAAAGTTGTTATGATGGTCATTCAAAAATTAAATTTGTTGAGTAAAATGTACCACTTTAATCGAGTACTTTTGACATTACTAAAGGAAAACAAGTTGTTCCCAAACACCAAGACTTACCATCTCTACTCAAAGAGTGATTTTGACACAGAATTTCCAAAAAGGTCAATATTTATTTAATGATTTACGAAGACACATTGGTCTTCCAAAGAACATCGAGTGCACAAATGTTGTGTTTAGTCGAGAAGATGTCAAACTCTTTGGTGGTGATATACCAACTTTAAAAGAAGTGCAGTCGTTGTCATTGTCATTGTCATGTTTCAATCATCAACTGAACAGCTATAAACATTCAATTAGAGTGGATAGAAAATGTCTGGCTCGTTTGCAAAATATAGTAAATTATAATATTTATTGCAATAATATTGAAAACATTTTGTAACATATTAAAAACATTAATTAAAACTCCAAAAAACAAAAAAAAACTAATAATAAATGGTTGTTCATAATTTAATATAGTTATTCTTATTGGGCCGGACTTTATTCCACCTACTCTATTATTTATTAAAGTTTTTAAAAATAAACATATTATTTTTTAATGTATTTATATTATTTTTTATAATAAGTTGATAAATAAATTAACATATTATTGTTATAGTTTATTTTGTTAAAACCCAACTGTTAAAACATTGGAACTTTTTAATTCAAAATTTTAATGATTACACCCAAATGTTTGTTCTATTATCAATTATCGTAACATTTTGGTGTATTTTATAATTCCGTTGCTATCATTGTTGTAACAACTATTGTTCATAAATCAATAAGTGGTTATTATCATATATCAATTTGATAATTGTCTTGATAAAAACACCATGTTATATACTGTATTAAATATAATCAGATCAAATAAGTTATAATTAACATTCAGATATATACTTGTCATTCCATTGATTAATGAACATTATGTACAGTTCCTGAACGATTTGCTTTGTCTTTGATTATTTAATTTCTTTTTTTTGAGTATGTTGTCATGTCTTTGATTATCGCTATATGTCTTTGAGCATGACACTTTTTATGAAATCATTGTATTATTGTTATGAATTGCTCGAGTCGAGCGTTGTGGCTATTGTATTGTAATTAATTATGGTTATTGTTACTAGTATAGTTAATTATATTTAATAATAAAATAAGTTATTATTTGAACTATTAGTTTATATTTAGGTTTTTATAAATATAAATCATGTACCAAACAAATTAATTAATTATTGATACATTATTTTGATTTCTATAGTTTAAAACAATAGTATTGATATTATTTGTTATATAGTATATTTAATAATTAACAAACATTTTTGAGTTTTTGAGTTTGATTATTATTATTTAATATAGTTTCAAAATATAAATATTTAGTTAGTAACTTTAAATATTGAGATAAAAATAAACGTTTCTTTATTATTATTAGTTTTTTATAGCATTTTTAATTATTAGTTATTAGCTTTTTAGCTTTATTTTAAGTTGAATAGGTTTTTTTATTACATATTATTAATAAAAATACAATTATTTAATAGATTGTTATTTCATTGTTATTTGTGTTATAAAAATATTATTTGTAACTATCGATTTGATGTGTAAAACAGTGCTGCATTTGTCACAATTTTTGTGTTAATTATGGCAATTACAGCAGTAATAAAATATAAATCGATATTTTAGAATTGAATTGGCTTGTTTTCCCATTACTTGGCCAAGTATTGATTCAAATAACTATCTGTTTCTAAGTTTTTTCTTATACAAAAGTCGGCTTTATACTCGCCGCTAGATCTAAAAGAACTGAGTGTACATAAATTCAAGCCCACTTTGGTAAAGTTGCAAATAACAGAAAAAATAACACTTTTGTCACATGTTAGACCCTGGTTGTAAAAGTTATTAATTGGATAAAGATTCTTTTAATATTTTTCTTTAAATTCCCATACAACTTGTTTTTAATATGGACGAGGTTAACTTTGATGATTATGCAGACAGAAAAAAAAATGTAAAAGTGCTTGTTCCAAAATCTGTTGATGTTGTTATAAAATTATCAAAATATATAATTAAATGATAATGTCTTTATTTAATATTTCCATTGATATTTTAATCTTATAAAACATTTTTAAATGTGTGTTTTTATTAAAAAATAATAATACAACAGTTAAATATGATTGGATATAATATCTCGTTGATGTTAATTATCAACAATTGGTTGTTATAAAAAATGTACATCGACTTAGTTGCATTTATAAAGTGATCACAATAGTTCAAATTATTTATTTGTTGTTTCAACAAAATGGGGAAGTAATTACTCAAATGTAACAATCAATAATCAAAATATATATTGTAATACATAAATGATATTTAACTGTAAACTATGTTCGACATTTTTATACAATTTCAACACTGTATAATATAATTAATTACTTTCTTTGAATAAAAAAAGTGAAAAAAGGCACACCAAATAATGGTAAGAAACCCATTTCTATTTTTAAAAATAGTTCTTGATTAATATTTTAAAACTATTTATCTTACCTCTTACAATTATTTGGTCTCTGACTATTATTTGGTCAACTGTATACGTAAATTATTAATTTAATATTTTTTATTGTGTTGACTAATTTGTTGTGTGTATAATTGAAAACGCTGTTATTTATTGGTTGAGTTAATTATTATTTAACACAATACTATTATAAAAAAATATTTACAATTTTTATTCGAATTAAAACAAACTTTATGTGACAATAGAAAGTGCTTTTGTATACAGTTCTTTAAATTGTTAGTGGTGTTATTAAATACATTATAATTGATTGTCACGATTATATTCTGAATTATAGCATTTGTCATGTTACTTTATTTTAATAGTATAATTGCTATTTTCGATGACAATTTTACAATTACAATCAAACTTTAATAATCAACAATGATTGTACATTAAACAAATCAATTAATAAAAAAATCCATTTAACAATCTTTGTTATACAATAATAATTTGTGTATAATGTTTTTTCTGTGTTTTTTAATTACAATCAAAGCAAAAAGGGTGTATGTTTATAATATTAATGTCGTTTTTGTCAAGTAATTTGTATTTGTAATCACTTCTAAGTTTTTTGTTTAAAACGTTTTATATTGTTTTGTTAATTGTGTTAATTGTTTTCCATTTAATAACAATAATCTAACAGTGTATTAATTCAAAAAATTATGATTGAAATTTTTGTGTTGATTTTTTAAAGGTGGAAATAGTGTCAATTTCAAACAATTGTTAAGACGTATATTTTACGTTTTATGTTGTTGTGTGTAAACTCAATTGTAAATAAAAACAATTTTATTTTGATTTGTGAAACACGT